AGTACATATTTCAGATAATGTCCATACTACTAATTGGTCCTAATATGGACACTGTTTTGTCTATATTAGACTTAAGATTTTTTTTTATTCAATAAAGCTTTATAGTAGCTAATATCGTTATTTTACATAAGTCAAAAGCATTAGGCCACACCCATAGTATCGATTGACGCCTTGGCTTAGGGTGGCTGTGGGTATATTTCCAATATTTGTTCGTGTTTTGTTCTACTCAAAGGGGGCAACCCTACTTCTGGCCTCAGCCGCGGGGGCAGGGCTAGTCTTCGACTGGATGCGATTTCAGCGTTGAAAAGAAAAGAATCCGAAACGTTAATTTGCATATTGAGTGAATCCTGAAAAATAAAGCTTTCTTGAACCCTTTTTCTTGGAAATATCACATTCACATACATGACGATTTCACTTGCTTCAGGGAATACATAATTTGACATTTTTTTCATAGCTTTGAATTTTGGAAAATTAAGCAGTAAAGAGAACGTTGGCAAGGATGTTCATGAAACGCTAGCAATAACTTCAATGAAACGTTGATTGAACATGTTCGGGTGCCACAGGGGTCTCTGAAGATCGTGGTAGCTCCTTCCATGACAACAGAGCATATCAGACACGATAAATATACCTAGACCAGACAGGCCAATGGAAAACGCCAGGCAGCGGCACGCCGATTAGAAGGGTCAGCCGCCATCGCTCATGGCGTCAAGTCGACCAATAAACGCATAGTTTTCAGGTTTCCTGACGTCACACTACGGAGTTTGGACGCTCTTCACGAATCTCCACCCCGACCTTTAGTGACGAAGTATGGTATTTTGAAAATCAATTAATGCTATCTATTCCGTCTTTGAAGAGTAAAAATCGTCTTTATTTATGTTGCACTTAATCATGAGAGTGCATTATGAGTTTCCCACGTAGTTTGGCCCAGGGCCTACACGAGGCTAAGAAAATTCCGTCTCACCTACGGATGGACCCTGCAGAAGGGTCGATCAAGTCCGATTCAAATTGAAAGACGCGGTCAGTGGTCTTTCACAGCTTCCGAATCCTAGACACATAGACCACGACTACCGTACGCTGCAGTGAATACCATGTCTCATCCTCTCCTTGACGCCATCAGTAATGGCCACCAACCCTTCAAATCGGCCGTGAGATCTTCGACTGCTATGTCCTGTCTAGGTATATTCACAACGTCTCTGGAGCATGTCTCCTCCGGTTTGCAATTTACCAGCAACTAGTTATTTTTATTTTATTTTATTTTATTTTTATATTTTATTTTATTTTTATATTTTATTTTATTTTTATATTTTATTTTATTTTTATATTTTATTTTATTTATCTTTCATATTTTATTTATTATTTTTTTTCCATATCGAGTCTCATCTTCCCCTTTCTGCTCAACAGTAACAAGTACGGTTTGAGCATTCAAGTCGCTAGAACAATTCCTTTTTTTTTCATTGTACAAAGTTTTCTTAAAAAAAAAAATGCGGTCGCAACCTCAACTCTTTGCCCCGTGCCTCTCGTTACTCACAGCTAAAGTGAAATAAGCGGTAGAGTCATGACCCTTCTCATTGGCACACCAACAACTTTCCTTGCTTTCTCGAGATGCAAATTTCCGGTCGGAAGCAATTCAGTTCGCCGCTTGACCTTCGACGGAGGGCCATTGCGAGGCCGGCGAGGCTTCCTCGACCGATCAAATCCTGCGTCTTATCGCGTCTGTATTATGACAGTATTTATTTACGTCCTTGTTTACATCCTTGTCTACACGAGAGGCTGTCAGCTTGCAACGTTCCTAAGTAATTTCTGCATTCTGGTTTCTTTCCATTTAATTTGTTTACAATTCTGCACATTATCGGGTGAAAGGCTGATGGAAGACAGAGTTTACCGACGAATGGGATCAAATAAAGACAAAAGTGTTGCGATGTTTTTTTTGTTTCTTTCTCTCGCACACCTGAAGTTTGAGAGGTCAGAAGTACCTTTAGAAGTTTCCATTCAAAAGTTTCCAGGAAAAACCTAAGGCAACGGAGTTCCAGGCGAAGTTTTCCCGAGCATCAAGTGCATGGACCCCACAGCCCATATCAGCTCATTCAGGACGCATCAGCAATATGCAAACGCTGACTCAAGTTTTGAGTTAAATCCCATTTCAGAGAGATTCGAGTTAGGCAATTCAGAGCAGACTTGAACAGGAGGCGATTCTAATTATAATTTAATACATATTCCCTGAAAATTATCCTGGTTGAAAAAATATACCTACACATTCTTTTCAATCTAAAAGCTTAAACCATATTGCGATACATTCCATATCTTTGACGTCAAACTCCTCTCCCATGAACGATAAAAAAAATCATATTAGGGGTGCATAAGCCCTATGATCACAACATGAATCCTTGCCTCAGAATTACCATGTGCAACAAATCAAATGGGCATATTTTGCGCAAGGAGAATGAATTCTAGTCCAGCATGATTCCATGAATCGCGTATCATTGTGTGACACCTGCTGGAAGAGAAGCCTCAATTTTCAACTTAATATTCATCAACATCCTTTCAACAAAGTTCTTTATTCAGATCTTGGATCCAAAAGAGCAATCACTTGACAATAATTAATTGCTATACATGCATATATATATATATATATATATAATAAATCCTTCCACGGCACCTGCCGGTATTGGAGACATGAGGGGGGATGAACCACATCCCAGACCTCATACTCACCTAATTGTGAAGGACACGGCGAAGGATGCTGGCCGTGCCCAAGATTGCTGTACGCTGGAGAATATCCAGTGATATTTCACACTCCAGCTTCTTGACATGTCCTTTGAGGTCTTTCAGGACGACGCCAGTTGTGCCTATGATGATCGGAACTATGGTGGTCTTCATTCCGCACAACTGTTCCACTTCCACTTTCAGTTCGGAGTA